GAAGTAAAGGGCTAAAGGTGTAGGGAAAGTGGGAAGGGTGGGGGAAAGGTAATAAGGGAGAGGAAAAAAATATGAGAAACTGAAAAAATGGAAATAAAGTGTTTGTAGATGGGGAGGGGAGGAGTGGGGTGAAGGGAGGGCAGGGACAAGGGGAAAAAATAAGAATCAAAACCTATTATGTAAAGGTACAGGATCCTAATGATGAATGTAACTGTACTGTATACCTAGATTGTACCAATAAACTCAATAAAAAGAAAAAAACAAACAAACAAAAAACACAAAAAAACCCACTTTTCAGGGCCCGGGATTTAGCTCAGTACCTCCGCAGTTACCTCATAAGTGTGACGTCCTGAGTTCTATCCCCAGTACCAACCAATCAACCAACCAACAAACAAACAACTTTTCAACTATTTAACAATGGAATGTTAAGTAAGTAGCCACTGGACATAAACATTAAAAAAGATGATCACTGAGAACCTGGAAGGTATTCAAGCACTGCTGAATAATCAGATCAAGAGTCCCCAAACCTGCTTTTTTTTTTTTTTTTTTTTTGGTACCGGGGATTGAACCCGGGTCCTTGCGCTTACATGCAGGCCACCGAACCGCTGAGCTAAATCCCAGCCCCAAACCTGCCTATTTTAGAAAGCCATATGGGCAATTTTAAAAGGAAGAGAGGGCCAGGCACAGTGGCACACACCTATAATCCCAGGATTTAGAAGGCTGAGACAGGAGGATCACAGTCTGAGACCATTTTGGGCTATCCAGTAAGTTCAAGATCAACCTGGTTTCCAAAAAGTCAAATTAAGTAATTACTTAATTAAAATGAAGAGAAAAAAATTATGTGAAAGTCCCACTCACATCCAAGTGAATTAGAATCTGCAGGGATGGAGACTGAGTAATATGCTCAGAAGTTCCTCTCCAGATACTTCCAAGCTTTAGAACAAGGAACCTAAAAATTTCCATGCAAAGTTCTTATGTTTTATTTGTAAATAAGTACTTGTCAACAGTGAAAATCTGTTATGATGGATTATATTCCCCTCTTTAAATGTTACAGAAAATTTGTGAATATTGAAAACATCATCCACATGCGCTCAGCCACTCACAATGGCGAAGGCGAAGGCCTTGATTCAATGAAACTCTCCATGGGTTGTAATAAAACTTTCACCATGGCACTTACAACATGCTTACCTCTTCTAACTCCTCTCTGCACTCCCAACCCCCTAGCTCTGTAGTACCTGAACTTGGCTTTTAATTTTGACTTAAAATCATATCTAAGAAAAGCATTAACAACAAGGTTAAGGGCCAGTGGTACCACCGCCTGCCTTGCAAGCACAAGGACCTGAGTTTGATCCCTGGTACCAAAAACAAACAAACCCAAACAAAACAACAACAGAACAATAAGGTTAACACACAGGCATCTCATACTGATGCTCTTCCTCTAGCTATACATTCAAGATTTGCCTTTTTGTCATTTTTTTCTTTTACTGGCTGATTACTAGTCACATATACATCGTGGGGTTTTTTTGTTTTTGTTTTTTTACTTCTGTAAGAAGACACTAGGGATTGAACCCAGGGCCTGATCACTGAGTTATATCCCCAGCTTTTTTTCCTTTTTTTTTTTTTTTTTTTAAGAGAGGGTCTTGCTAATTTACTAAGTGGCCTAAGCTGGGCTTGGACTTGACGTCAGACTCCCAGAGTGCTGGAATTAAGCATGCATCACCATGCCCAAGATAAAGTTCAAAAGTACTAAACACGCTATTATCAAAATAATTTCAATAAGCTTGGGATAAAATAGAAGAAAATTTGCCACATGGAAGAAAAAACAAGTAACAGAAAATAACAGATAGTGATCTTCAAGTTAACAGACTATGTGTCCAGCACAATGAAGGAAACACGCACACAAACTCACACACACACACACACACACACACACACACACACACACACAGGCACACACAGAGTACATTATATAAGATTAGAAGGATTCAAAGTTGTTAAATTCCCCAAATCAAATCAGACACACATGTTTAAACACCGCATTGTTTCTCTGTTGTAAGAAACTGAAAGTAGACATAAGGACTGAAATGTATAATGGATGTTGGAAAATGGGAAGAAAATGTTCACATGGGAAGGGAAACAAGGGAGGAGGGAGGGAGAAAGGAAGGGACAAGAAAAAGTGAAACTAGAGGGGAAAAATGGAAACAAAGCTTTTGTATGTAGGAAGGGGAAGAGACTTGGGGGGGAGATAAAATAAAATTTATCAAAAAATCCCAAACTCCCAAAATCTATTACCTACAAAGGAAAGAATATTAGAAGGATGTCAGACTGCTTACATTGGAATATTAACAATGAGAAAACATCTTCAAAGTTTTGATGGAAATCTATTCTGAATCTAGAAATTTATATCCAGTCAAAATATCAACTATATGTTATAGTAAAATAAATATTTTTGGAAATGTAAGAACTCTGAAAATTTATTTCCTGTGAATTCTTTTTCAGCAGTTACTTGAGGGTAAGTTATAATAAAATGAGTTTAACAACAGAAAGCTCTGTTAACAGCTAAAAATGAAAATCAATACAAAGGAAAAACAGGCCCACATCTTACTAACCATGTTCACTAGTACACCCCAAAGGTCTAAACTGGTGCCTGATACAATGTAGTTACCCCATAAATACTTGTTGATTGTCTAAGACGAGATTAGTAAAATAATGGAATTAATGCAGAGATCCAAAGAAGAGAAATCCAGCATCGCAGCCATAGAGTGGCCTAGAAATGAACAACTTAGGAAGTTTTTTCAATCCAAGAAGTTTTATCTTCAAGAAAAAAACCTACAACCTGGCTCAGTGTTGCACAACTGTGGTCCCAGCACTCTAGGAGACTGAGGAAGGATAATCCCAAATTTGAGCCCAGTCTATGGTGACTGAGACCCTGTATATCAACAACAACATATATAGGCTAGAAATATAGTTTGGTACAAAGGACCTAGGTTCAATCCTCAGTAACAATAAAAAAATAAATAAATAAAAAGAACTACAACAAAATAGTGAGTAGAATAATAAAGAAGACATTAAGTATTAATGACATGGACAGGAAAACACAGTTCTTATCTCAATCTGAGAAAGGGTAGCTAGAAATACTGAGAAAAATGAAAATATACATATAAGTCACTGTCATAATATAATAGTGGGCTGATTTGGAGCAGCTGACTGGGGATAGAGGAGAAAAAAAACCTATTTGACTTGAAAATTAGAAATACCCTCTTTGTGTGGTGATGACAGCAGACAGGTAGAGAAGGAAATGCAATCCAAGCTCTGTAGTGAATATTTATACAGTCAATAAATAATCAAATACAGTTTTCCATTTTCTAAATTCTATAATCAACTTATATGAACCAAGCACAAAAGACTAAAATCTGACAGAACTATTAGCCTCAACAACACTTCGGTTGCACAGATTCTACTGTGAAGGCAGAGGGTAAAAGAAAGGAAGAGAGATGCACAGACAGAAGGGTTAAGGCAGGCAAAACAGCAACATATTCTTGTGATACAGAAGTAAGGCAAGGAAGGCATTTCAGAGATGAAGGGATATAAAGCACAGAAGTGGAGGGAGTTGTGGTGGGGAGGGGAAGGGAAAGTAAAAAGGATTAAGATGTGACATGTGTGTACTATTCCCCAAGATCAATGTAATTATGTATCACAAAAATATACTAATCAAAAAAAGAAACTAAAAACCAAATAAAACAATAATCTAAATATATGTATTAAGGTTGAAAGGTGAAACAGAACTAAAATAATAACTTCAATTATAAGAGAGGGAGGTTTAAAATAACATTGGTCAGAATTATAAAATTAAGCAACAGTCTTTCACTTATTCATTTCTTCTAGTTTTTGTCAACCGCCACTCTTAAAAATATCTGTGAAAGGGTTCAACTCTTGATTGCCTGCTGATCCCGGCTTAATTTTAAATGGATGAATTAGAATTTATCAGACTAACAAGTATGTTCAATTTGTTTGCTCTTCCCAAAAAGACCTTAAATTTGTTTTTATTTGAAAGAGTTTCAACAAACACTCCAATATACTCTTTATAAAATCTATTTTCTGGTCATTAATGTGAGTACCATTATTCACAGCTGTTCCTAAATGTTCTCTTTTCCTTCTATTCAACTTTATATTCTTCAATAGGTGGGTAGAAAATTCATGGCATGATATTAATTTAGTAGTAGGGAGTGTGTGTGTTTGGTACTTGGGATTGAACTTGGGTCCTTGCGCTCACAAGGCAGGCAGCAGAGCCACTGAGCTAAATCTCCAGCCCCTAGAGGTATATTTTTATACATATGCCTTTTCTCATTTCTTTCTGAGGACTCTTTAAGATTTGACCAGTTTCATGAAGCCTAATTTAATGAAATTAAGGTCATAGTTCTTTTTAATGTGGGGGCTGATACTGGAAGTTCACTCTGTACCTTGGCATCTAGCACTTAATTTTTGTAGGTGATAAGGCAATTTTTCATTTAAGGAAACTGAGCTGGCAAAGAATTGAGAATCAATCCAGGATTACAGTCAACAGACAGTAAGATTAAATCTGATACCTTTATTAACCTATATGGTTTCTCTTATTTTATGATGTTTTGTCTGTATGTTGTCTTAACTTTATAAATAATGCTCTGAGTGCTCTCTTTTATCTTGCTATCTCTTCTTAGGCATAGATCTGAATTTTAACACAATACTCTTCAGGAGACCTTCTCTAACTTCTGAGACTAGGTTAATTTGCTTTGTGCTTTCATAGTAACCTGTATCTACTGTCACAGTGTGAATCATAACTTTGTTTTAATTATATTTTTTTGCTTGTCTTTCTCTAGTAGATTATAAGTTCTTTAAAAGTGACATTATGTTGATCACTTGAATTTATAGCACTGAGTGTCCAACTGCTTACAAACTAAAACCAATGTCCTATATTTTTTGCTAGGGGATAAAATCCTCTCTTACTCAAGTGTAAGACTCACCGATCTTCTAAAACTTTAATGGTTTCTTGAAGGACTTTCTGTTGCTCTCTCAATTGTTGATTTTTGGTGAAGAACTCTTCCAGTCTTTGTGCATCTCTACAAGTCAAGAACAAACGTGTTTTCAAGGGAAAATATGCTACAAAAAGTTTTTATTACAAATCCAAAGTTTGGTCTTAGTACTCACACATTATCATGAACTTTTTATATGAAAACAAAACAACTTAAAAAGTGAGGTTTCAAAATCTTGTTAATCAGAGTTCAAATCACATTAGAATTTGTTCTCCAGCATTTGTATGTGCTACAGGGATGTTTCCCTAAGTACTATTCATCAACCAATGCTGGAACATAGAAGAAGGAGTGGAGTCTTATTTGGCCACTGACTCAATGGCTATCAAAATACATTTCTTTTATTCTGTTGCAACAACGGATATCTCTACTCACATTATCTATGTTTCAGTTATGGAGAATTTTCTATTTCTGTTAAGAAATTGAAAGTATGAAAAGTCCTGCACAATTGCAGGATTTTTAAATATTTCTTTAAATTCCTTAATTTAAAAAATACTTAAAAGAAAACAAAGTTTTATTTGTAGGTGAGTAGTTTATTTCTCAGTAGCTAGAAAGGTTAATTTTCTTAGAAAAAATGCTGAATGGATTAATATGGTAGATGTCATTATTTATTTCCTCAGAGAAAAATAAAGCCACTGTTTTTTAAAAATAATAGCTAATAAATAACATTATTAGAGTCACTAATTGATCATTAAGATAATCATTTCAGTTCATAACAATAGATACAAGAAAGGTAAACCTTACTTCTAGTTCCACTAGCAAAACCCTTACTCTAGAGAAGGTGTAATAAAGCATACCTTTAATTCTGATTACTGAGGGATTTACTTACTCATCTGTGCTTCCAAAATATATAACCCCAATCTACCTAAAGTACACAGGTACAGATTACAATATACATTAAAAGGTAGCTAAGACCAGTTGTTTCCATTATTTAATATTAAAAATGTTACAGGTGGTTTTAGAGAAAGTAATATTCAACCTTCATTTATAAATTTAAAAAGTCTTTTCACATGGCTGATTAGTTACAAGTGTAGAGTAATATATTTTATATAAAAAGTGCATTTATGGCTGGGGATTTAGCTCAGTGGTTCTGCCACCTGCCTCTCAAGCACAAGGGCCTAAGTTTGATCCCCGGTACAAAAAAAAGTGCATATATGATAAATCTATATCATTTTTATGTATGTTTAGACAGTCAATCTCCAGGAAAATGACTGATTCAAGCTAAGTGCTACAAAAGTATCATTCAAAATAGCAATACTTTTAAAAATAAAATTACTAGGCCTCTATAAAGAATCCATTTTAACAAAACTAATTCCCTTCAAAAACATTTAGTTGAATGCAGCTTAAAATATATAATCAATAGCATACAATGATTTCTAGCCTTAATACTGCTTCTTAAAAGCAGCCAACATTTTGACTCTAAAGGATGTCATTCTCATCAGTAGCTGTTGCAAGATCATTCATTTCAACACTGACCCAAACTCTGAAATATTAAATTTGTGGCATTAGAAAAAACTCAAGGGGAACAAGAAATCCTACATGGTGGTGTTAAACATACAAAGGGAAGACTTGCAGAGTAACTCCAACACACAGTGATTTAGATACTTCATTGGTATGCAATTAAATCATCATATCAAGTGATAATACTCTTTCTGATTAGCTGGCCTATAACAAAAATGAAGAGGAAAACAACAGAGCAAGTGTACTTCATAATTTAAAATTTTAAACTATTCAAAGTAAATATTTTTTACCCCCAAAGAAAAGCCAATTTATCCCTAAATAAAACAAAGACGTTTCCACTGTTTTATTTCAAGTGTGTAGAACATGAGAAATTTCACTTCTGATTAGGAAAATGATACTATTTTTGGTTCAGCCAATAGATACAACTTCATTATATTTAATTTTGGAGTAATTTTTAGTCATAAGGCTTATACATGAAGTTTTCTTCTGTAACCATGTAGATAATTCTTACATATGTAAATTAATATTATCAATATTAACTCAAGTACATTAACAGGCTGGAAAGTTTATAAAATCTCTCTTTTCCACAGAAACAAAAGAAAATTTGTGCCATATAAGGAGATCATACCACTGGGTTCTGAGCCATAGGAGGAGGGCTAGTGAAACTGTAGTGACATTTTTGGCCTACTCAACAGCCATTGTAACTTTTTATTCCTTGCTAAAATTAATATTTCTTTTCTCTAATATCTAGTAGCTTCTTGGACATAAGTTGATCTTATGTTTTCACTTTGGAAATAATTTCAGACCTACAAATAAGTTATAGAGTAACTATACACCTATCACTCAGCTTCTCAAAATGGTAACATCTTGTGAAATCATAGTTCAATTATTAAAATCAAGGCATTAACAGTGTCAAGAGTATTTTCTAATCTATAGACCTTATTAAAATTTCACCATCTGTCCCTCTAATACCATCTCTCTGGTCTAGGACTGTACATTTCATTTCACTGTCACACTTTTTCCAATCTGGAGCTTCTCCATCCTTCTCTGCCTTTCACAGCCTTGACACTTTTGACATTTAGCCAATCCTTTAATTTGTTGACAATCTGGGCCAGGAGTTTAGCTCTGTGGTGCTGTGCCTGCCTTGCAAGCACAAGGTCCTGAGTTTTAACTTCCTCTAAGGAAGAAAGCTGTCCCTTTATTCAATAAGAATTGTAAATCATTAATATAATTATTTCTTGGCCTAGTTATCACAGATTTTGCCATTGGTAAATTTTTTCAAGTTGTCTTCTACATCTTTTCAAGTGCTGCCTTTCTGAACATGAGCATATTTTCTGGCACCTAAGATGTTCCAGCTCATCTTTTATGCTCCACTCCTCTATAATATTAGTTCTCTCTCCAAGAACACTGTTTCCTTTCCATCAAAAATGCTGTTTAGAAATTAATACCCAATATTAAGGTGTGCTCACTACTACTGGGTGTCATTACTTCCAGGCCTAGTCAATGGGTCAAGCCTAGGAAATACTTGTATATCCTCACACACATTCACAAATACCTATATCTATTTCTCTCATCTCTAAATATATATTAAAAACCCTGGTAACTGCAACTCCTATTAAGCAAGACAGAGTTAATTTACACTTTCCCATGCTCTATGTGTTAACTCCATCCTCCTGACAATAAGAATTCTAGCACAAAATATCAACAATATATTTACTTCTTTGCTCTATCCTAGAATACACATAAATTAGTCTCAAAGTCGATTTGTCTGAACCATGCATAGTAATTCAGTTCCTTTCCAGTTTCCGTTTAGGAATGACCACACAATTATGGTACACAAATTAGAGGAAGTCTGCTGGGGTCTGCTATAGCAAATTTCTATAATTAGTAAAAAGGACATAAAGATGTTCAACAATTAGAATGATGATGGTCATCTTGCCATTTTGCCAAGATTAAGAGGCAAAGTCCAGTATTAACAATGGTGGAGTAAAAAAGAATAACCTGAAGCTCTAATGATTTTGAGTCATTGGTTAAGCAGTGCTAGAATGTCTTTTTGAGACCTTCTATGTTGGAGGATATAATTTTCTTACTGTCAAAGTCAATTCTACTTGTTCTAGCAATAATAATATATCAACCTAAGAAGATATGCATCCTAAATTTACTACTCAGGAAAGCCTTTTAATTTCCTTTGTATATCTCTCTCTCAGTCATGAGAACTACACTGAGCTCTACCACAATAGCAGAGAAATGAGTTATTCTATGGTTCAGGAGGTTTAAAATGACATCTTTTAAGATAATGGAAAGATGGTAATAAAGTGGCTGTAGATGGGGAGGGAGGAGGGGGTGAAGGGAGGGCAGGGACAAGGGGAAAAAATGAGAACCAAGACTTGTCATGTAGAGGTACAAGATCCCAGCAATGAATGTTAACTGTACTGTATCCCTAAAATGTACCAATAAACTCAATTAAAGCTGAAAAAAATAAAATGACATCTTTTAAATAGGAACACATACACTTTCAACAATGTAAAACATTCCAATGTTACCAAGAATTATTACTAAGACTAAGCAATTCTTTTAGACAAAATTTCAAAATTTCGTAATTTTATGTTTCTGAATCTATGTCCACTCACAAATATGACTAAGGTGTGAAAAAATTCATATTTTTCATTCATATTATAATAAACAATTGGATACATACTGATGATTAGTAACTCTAGCTTTTAGTTATAGCCTTGGGAATGTTAAGAACATGAAGTAAGGGAGGTCTGCAGATACATAATATAAAGCGAATGTAAAGTCACCTTCCTGAATGTGGTGTTGCTAAAGAACCATGAGTAAAATCTGCTTAACTTAGAAAATGAGCTAATTTAGCATTTAATAGCCAATACAATTCAGGAGTCCTTTGGAAGTTCCAAACTACTAATAAGGGGTCTCAAGATAACTACTTGGCTTCCATCTCTTATATGAGTTTAGAAAGCCCAGAATTGTTCTGTTCCCAATCTTGCAGCACTTTGAATTGTAGGTGCTAATACAGCTGAAAAAAGAATGCTATGCAGAACAGTTCTCATCTTAACAAATACTCTATGAAAAAAAATGTTAAATTTACGCATGCATGTTAACTAAGGCTATACTTAAAATCATAAAGTTGTTCTTTTTACTTTAGAACTGTAAAAAATTTCTGTAAATTAGTTTAAGCCATTTAATTTCTTTTTAAATAAGAGGCTTAAGTAGCTAATTTCTTTTCAAATAAAATACTGAGATCAAACAGGGTAACGGCACCAATTACTTTATAAATACTACATCAGTGCTACATACTTTACTGATACTTACAAAATGCGTTCCTTTTTCAGTTTGGATATTTTTACTTGTAAACCTGAAAGGTAAAAAGAAAAACATCCAGAATGTTTTATTTATACATTTTACTATTTCTGAGGCAATTATCTAAATTCCTTTATGAGTCAAATGCTACACTATTAAATCACTTCAGTCTAGCCTCTGAATAATGAACTATGTCCCAGTGAACCAGAGAGTGTATTCCCTTTACTTTTACCTGAGGTCACAAAAGTATACAAGCAACATTAATGCTTTTAGTCTATATATGACAGGCAAGTAGGATGAAGATTTCCCCACCTAAGGTGAGTTATTTCCTAACAGCAAGGGCAAACATCTAATTAGAAGTTCACTATAAATGAAGACCTATTATAATAAGTCTACAAAATGCTACCAGTAAGAGTGCTTATGTAAGCTCAAATCTTTCAGGATTAAATGTAGCAAGAAGTCCTGGATTAGAAGCAAAACTGCTTACAGAAAAGTATCCTTGAATTGGACCCTTGAATTACTACTGGCCTTACATATCAACAACTTGGGTTATGACTGGAATTTTAGTTTTGACTCACAATCAAAGTCTTGAGTTATAACTCAAATGCCAGTCTGTCCTGTGTGGAGCTGAGAAGTCCTGGGCCAGTGTCTCCCTAAGGACAGTGAAATCTGCCTGGAAGAATGTGGCCTAAAATTATACAGGAGGGAGACTTTGAAGGCTGAGGAGTCTGAGCCTTCAATTGACCCTGGGGTTGATGACAATGTCACTATAGCAGAGTCCACAGGCTTGCAGGTAGGTAGTGGTGATGTTGAGGAACTGGTGGAGGAACTGTCTACAGAGAAACTTCAGTAACTTCTGGCTGAGAAACAGAGAATGGCAGCTAAGGAGCTTTCTCAAGAGGAGGGGGAGTAACAACAATCAGTGCAGAAAAGCTCTTCTGAAAGAAAAGTATATCCTGGAAAAAAATGAAAAAAAAAATGGACAGAGCTACAAACATTTATAGAGAAGACCCACCCAGACAGAGAAAAGCTAATCATTGCATTCACTTGCTTAAGGACAGTGTCATGTCTTACTACAGAACAGTGTTAAAGAAAAGTCAAAAACAGAAAACCTTGGACTAGTTTTTAGTTCTGTGACCTAGTGAGCCAGAAACAAGTCCTAGTGGATTACAGACTCTCCCAACAAAAGAAAGGATAACAAAGAGTCAGATTCCTGATGTTCTTATGGAAGGGAATTCTCCTTCCAAACAATAACCACCTTCCACTTCATCCTCCCTTCTTGTAAGCCAAAGATGTCGATTTGAATGGTGACTACAGTATGATATTTTTATTTCTGGTGAACTAGGCACATTTTATAAGTCTTTTGTGACTACACTAGGAAAATTATTGGTGTTTCTGGTAAATTACGAACATTATGCAACCCTTTTTTATTATGAAAAGGTTAGCTAAGTGGTGCTTTGGGAGGTTCGGAATGCATTATGGGTATTTCCATTATTTGCTATGAGAAAAATAGTCTTGACTTACAACCAATTTGAGTTGCAACCAGCCCTCTCAAACATATTGAGTTCATAAGTCAATGATCCACTGTAATTAAAGGGTAGCAGCATTTTTATCTCAAGACATTTGTTGTGTATTTTAAATTTTAATTGAGTCTGACAGAGCAAAAGAGATGACCATTTCTTATGGGACTCAGGTAGTTACTGAGAAGAAAGCAGCCTTATGGGCACTGAAACTGCAAAGAATATGTTTAAAATAGCATAGCATTTCTAATTTTAATAGGAACAAAGAAGAAAAACAGCCAATAAAGAAACACTAAAATACACCCATTTCAGCTAGCAATTAAATTTAAATGCAAACCAAAATAATTACTTAGGAAAACTACACTTCTATACTGGATATATTTGAACTTGTACAATTCTTTGGAATGCAATTTAACAATATGCTAAAAGTCGTTTCTATCAGTACCTCATTTTGTGTATTGGGCAAAAGCAAACAGAAGTACAAATGCATTATATGGTCTGGACAATCTGATTAAAACTACTACAAAACACACACACTAACAAACTAAAAAGAATCACACCAAAAGTTGATTAGTTGAATTTTTCTAGTCAAATACAAACATTTCTCTGTTCCTTATTTTTTGCAAGATGATTAAAATAAAAACATGTTTTTTTAATTCTTAAACCAGTGCTTTTTCTATTCTACAACTTCCCCAACTCTATGTATTTTAACAACTCAACATAAGTTGCCTATAAAAATGTAAAGTTTTATATCTACTCAAGAATTTCTTTTATTTGGCTAGAGTCCCCAACAAGTAGTTATCAGCTGAATAATTTCTGAAAAATCAGATTATTTACTATTTGCCTTTCATAGTTTATGGAATTAGTAAGTTGTACATTTAGAAAAGCTTCCTGTATCATATTTATATTAATATATTTATCATTTCCAGTAATGAGATTGTTCATATTATGTTTAATTTAGTACAATCTTTTGAATAACATAATTTAGACAAATAGGAATGTTCTCCGCTTTTTCCGTTGTACTGGGGATCAAACACAGGACCTTGCACTAGCCAGGCAGGTGTGGTGCACAAATAAGAATTAAAAAAAAAACAAAAACCAAACTTCTACATTTCCTCACAATTACTCCAATACTGCATGAAGAGATCATCTCTTTATATTGCCCACGGGTAATAATTTAATGCCATGAAATCCACACACTGTAGAAAAATAAATGCACTGAAGTGATTTTCAAGCATTACACTTTTGCCTTATCTCTTGAATTTCATCTCTAGGAAATGTCCAACTGATATGACACATTTTATTCTCAATGCTATACCCTAAAATGTAAGTAAATGAAAGTGTTATTTGTGAGAGATTTGGAAAACAGTTAAAATATAATACATAACAACAAAGGGAAAACATCTTTAAAAAATGTTAAGAGTAAAAGCTAATGTGATCTATTTTTAAAATTTTTTTCATCTGTCAAATTCTTAGTTCCTTCTTTTTTGGGTAGTGATGATAAACTCATGAGACTTTCAAAGTACTCCTTAAAGCATAAAATCATCCTTGCAAAATTAAGAAAGGTATCAAAACAGCAGGAAAATTTGTGACCCTACTAGGCCAAAGACCACAATCAGCAGTTTCTATCTCTTTTTCCTTTCCCCAAATGCGGGAAAATGTAACCGTTGACAGATATTCTTTAGTTTTCACTGACTTCTAAAATTCAGGTCTGCCTTTATAAGTGAAAAGCATAGACAAAGATGAAATGGATTCTTGCCACAAACCATTTTAAGCAAAGAAACAATGAGATAGAAAATCCATATAAACTTCAAAAGAAAATTCTTGGGAAATATGGAAAGTCTCCTCTTTTATCTTGTAAGTATTCAACACCTGTGAGGCATTTGTTCTGTCATGTAGATCAGCCCTGAAACAGGTTTGTGTGTCAGTGCATGTGTGCTTAAATTTTAACATTTGCTATTCATCAAGTCAATTAGGCATCTACAATTAGAACCCCTATAAAGTGTGCTTTAATCCTGCTCCACACCCTTCGGAAGGAATGAGGCTATACAACAATGCAGCTCCTGTATGAACAGGTAGCCTGTTCAGCAAAGTATTTGGGATTGTAACGCCGGCAACTTGAGACAACTATTGAGGAAACAGTACACAAAAGACCAAGGACTGTACTGCAATTAATGCTACACCTACTCATATATGAATTCTGGAGAAAATAAATCAAGGGCTCATATATGTAGCTGTAATACACCAAACGAGTTTACATGAGAATTCAGAAATGAACAAAGAATTCAATTTGTTATTCACAAAAATCATGTTATTTCATAAGTTCTCTACTCAGAACCAACCAGATAAAATGCACAGACTGTCAGTTTAAAGTAAGTTAGTCACGGTTCTGAACTGTAAAACTAATGCATGTGTTGACCCTTTGCATCTAAGCAGTAGCGCCGACCCTCTGATTTTGAAATGGTGTTGCTACATCACTGAATTGCTCAAACTGGGCTTGAACTCACAATCTTCCTGCCCCTGCCTCCCAGAGTGTTGAGAGTATAGATTTGTGTCCCCATCTGGGGCTCAATATCACCATTCTCAACAAATAGTAGCTTTATGCATAGTTCAAGTAGTTTAACTCCTACCAAAAAATACTACTATTTCTGTAGCTGCCTAACAAATTATTTCAATTCCAAAGTAAGAACTCTTATCTATATGAAATCAGCAATATTTAAATTGTGCCTTGCTTGGAAATGTGGCTGAGTGGTGGACTACTTACCTAACACGTGAGGTCTTGGCTTCAACTGCCAGTGCCCAGAGGATGGGAAACAGTCTGTCAAGGTGTATTTACTTTGCTTAATATTTACCTCAAAATAAGTAAATTGCTTTTCCTGGAGTTTATTTTCAGTTGTGAATGTGAACAAAAAAAACAACAGATATGAATTACTAAGAATATTCTTAACAGTGGACAGAATGCTGATGTCCTGGACCAAAATTACATACAATGCCTTTCACTGTTAATTTGTGAGTCTTAACTGGTCTCATTTAAAAATTTTTGACTGAAACAATTGAGAAAATAAATGTAGTAGTCCAAAATTGAATGAAGAAACATTTATCCTATCAAGCTGGGGATATAGCTCAGTGGTAGGGTACTAGTTTAGTGTACAGAAGGCTCTGGGTTCTATTGGTAGCAGCACATACACATTATCATAGCACTGTATATACACTTTCACATTTCTTCAAAGGGGTTCCACTCCTATCCCCCAAATCTGCCTATCTTTCTATGAAACTATTACCATATTTAACAGATACAGAAGCTGTATTAGTTGAGATGCTAGTGGCATAGTCTGGCATAGACAAGAAACTATTTACTAAAATTGTGAAAAATAAATATTCTAAATTCCAATATCTGTACTGTTATAATAAATCCCATTCTTCAAGAATTTAAAAAGGCAAAAAACAATTCAAATATACTTAACACTTAAAATTTAAAGAATTTTAATTTCAAAACATAAAGACTGCATATTATTAGTACCAATTTGTTAGTTCT